CAGGATAGAGATGTTCCTCCACAATGAGGTTCCAAAAGGGACTCTAGCAGACTCTTGCTGGCTTTGACAAAGCGAGCTGCCTTGTGATTGTGGTCCCTGTGGCCAATGGCCAGCGAGGAGCTGAGGCTCCCAGCCCCACAGCCTGCGGGGAAACAGATTCTACCAGTGCCTGACTTGGTTTAGTGGTGGACCCTACCCACTGATGGCAGCCTGTGAGGGACCTGGAGCAGAGGACCTAGACCACCATTCAAAGACACTCTGCATCTTTCTGTCAGTATGTGTTCATGTGCCTGTCACCTTACTAGTCTCTGAGCCCTTCAAGGGCAAGAATTATTTTCTAGGACGTCAACAGGCACATGTTGTTTGTGTTTAATGAATACCAGATGCTCACGGATCACACTGGCTTCCTGGGTAGGAAGGTCAGCTCACCCAGATGAATGGGACAGGTTAAATATAGATGACCACTGCAATGAGCAGTAAGAGCAAATCCTTCTGTAAGATGAAGACTGAACACTTAAAATAGCCAATTAAGTCTTTCTGTTCGACCTGGCTCTTTCAGGAAGCCACAGGGCATATCAGATGCTAGGGATAATGGACCTGATTTTGACGGGGACATCATTTTCTCGGAAACCTCCGAGGTTTCTGTCTGACCTTCCTGGCACTGACAAGCAGTGAACGGACTCCCCTTGCTCACCTGGGAGTCACGTACAGGAGGGCAGAGTGCAGACCCCCAGGAGGGGTGGGCATGGGGCTGCCATTAAAGGGCAAACAGCACGGGGCAAAAGCCTCGTGTGGTGCCAGGTGAACCACATCATACTGATCTATCTTGTTAATTGTGCCAAATTAAACATATTTAATTTGTAGATCATTAAAAAATGCCTACATATATGTGGATATATAATATGCAACACATGTACACATGCATATATAATGCGGAATATATCTTTTTATTTTTTTCTACAGAAGCAACTCTCTTGTTTTCTATCAAAGATTCCTTGACATTATTCAGTAATATTAGGAAAATTTTGGCAGAAGTTGGTACGCCATTTTTGGCTTTGTTTTTCTTTCTCTCCTGAAATCTCAGATTAGAGAAAGAGATTGTTACGTCCTTGGTTTTAAGGTGTTGGGTTCATTTCCTGCCCCTGAAAATGTGGGCTCTGCCTGTGCCTTTTCTGCTTTTCTCTGGTTTGTCACTAGAGGGCAGTATACGTCCGTGTTTACAAGTCAGAGCTTCCTGACTTGCGGACGGCATGCGCTGCCTCCTTGTGCTTTAGGAGAATAAAATTGTAATATCCATGGGATATCATTATTTTTATTTATTTATTTATTTTTTTTTGAGACAGAGTTTCGCTCTTGTTACCCAGGCTGGAGTGCAATGGCGCGATCTCGGCTCACCGCAACCTCCGCCTCCTGGGTTCAGGCAATTCTCCTGCCTCAGCCTCCTGAGTAGCTGGGATTACAGGCACGCGCCACCATGCCCAGCTGATTTTTTGTAGTTTTATTAGAGACGGGGTTTCACCGTGTTGACCAGGATGGTCTCGATCTCTTGACCTCGTGATCCACCCACCTCGGCCTCCCAAAGTGCTGGGATTACAGGCTTGAGCCACCGCGCCTGGCCGGGATATCATTATTTTACTAGCAACAGGATCTAAATAAGGTAGAAAGATTGCTATTCAGACCGACTTATTAGAAATGGCAAACTTCATGAATTAAGGATTCCAAAATCAAATTTCTGATAGCCGTGTGAACGTGACCTCTCTCACTGCAACACCAGAGACGAGCCTCCCATTCCACCTCCCCTTTTATATTACTTACTGTATTTTAATTATATTACTTGACTAAGTTTCTGTGAAGTTGAGGATGAGCAAATATTTCTACCATTTTTTACAGAAATAAATGTAACTGCTGAAGATACCCAGCGAAGAATAGGAAGGGCCCGTGCTGAGCCAGGCCCTTTGCACGTGGTTTCTCTCCGTTCTCCACCCCCGCCTAACAAGGTGCCTTAATCAGTTTTGTTTTGAGACAAGGACACGAAAACCAGCCGAGGGACCCACCCGAGGCCTCGCAGGGAGGTGGCCTCAGGATCACGGGCAGCTCGTCCGGCTCCGTCTCAGGCTCTGAGCCATATCCTCAGCACGGCCCCCCCATCCTGCCCGGCTCCTCAGCGCTTGCACGTCACAGGCGCTGCTGGCATGGGATGCCTGTTGCCTTCCTGTCTGTCACTCACTACTTGTTTTCAGATGTCAGACATTTTTAAGACATAAGTTTTTAAAGACGTTGAACAGACTCCGATGCTCCCTTAACCCCAGGCCATGCTGGCCCTCGGTGCCAATTCTGGAGGCAGCATTAGAGCAGAGGACAGATGTCAGGGAGGCGTTGGTCAAGGAGGGTCTCAGGGAGGCCCATCCGACTCATGACCTAGAAAGGGCTGGGGTCGCCGGCGTGGGCAGAGCAGGAGAGGGTAGGCAGGCGTCATGATCTCCAGTGCCTGCCTCCTCTCTCAACTGGACCCCTGCGCGAGGGCAAGGGAAGCCTCGCAGCCCACCTGCAGCACCCCGATGGACAGTGGATAGAAAAGATCAGCCCAGCACAGCCGGCAGCTGCTTCCCGATCCACCCAGGACCCCAGGCCACTTCCACCTATGTCAAGCTGGGAGAGGCGCATGGTCAGATACAGGGTTCCTCCTATCCCGCCTGCAAAGTCACCCAACTCCCAATGTCTTCCAAGTGAATCTGATGAGCTGTGCACTGGCTGATGAGAAACACACCCGGCCCGGGCCTGAGCGGGGAGCTGGTTCTCTGTCAGCATGAGGTCTGGACAGGAGCTCAAGAAGCAATAGTTTACTTGGCCTCTATTATCCTTGGGGCAACAGATTTCTGCAAGCCTTTGTTGCTTTTTGTTGTGGAACAAGTATGAAAAGTATAAAAGCATTTTTTGAACTTTTTGCAGAAAATTTCATATCCTCGTATTGGTTTCTGGGCAGTCCATCCTGGCCCCTTACCCTTTGCTGCCAGAAGGCTTATCTGTAATATAGTGTCACAGGGAAAGGCTAGTTCTGTGCTAATAAAGATGGAGCTCATGGGCCCCAGGCCATCCATCCCAGCTTATCTTGAATTTCTGTCAAGTGGGGGGATGGGAGGGGAGTCCACTTCCATCCCAGGGCCTCCACGGGAACTGTTCCTTAGTGCATTTGCAAGAAAGGGCTGTGGCCTCCAGATGGCAAGGGTGAGAAGGGCTCCTAGAGAGAAGAGGGATTTGTCAGGAACGCTAGACATTCTCCCTGCCTGGCCCAGGGACCCCCTTTGGACTCAATTTCCTTTCATCCTCTGCAGGCACAAAAACATCACCAAGGGTCACATACTTTTTCTAGTTTGTCATCTTGGCAAGCTGAATCTGAGAACGTGTTTGTTGAATTTCTATCCCCAAATCTTTCCTGGTTTGCATTAAACAGGAAAAGGATACAGTATTTCCCGCAGCCTGGCTTGCCAAGCCAAATCTAACAGAGAATAATGAACCCTACCAACTGCCAGAGTTAAGGGGTACCCACTAGGCCCCCAAAAGATGCATAATCAGGCAAAGGCTGCAGGAGGCCAGCTGGAAACCCAGAATGTCTGACTGTGGCTTCTGCTCTATTGAGAGACTTGCCTTGGCTGTTATCTTTGATAAAGGAGGGACATTTAAGTAGGAGAAGGGAGACGGAGTGAGCCGGCCGTCTGCCTGAGGTGTCTTGCAACTCTAAACACTAAATAAGCTCCTGGCTCATCTCTCCCCCGTGGCTTATGCAGAAGGGAGAGACAGGAGAGGCTACTTGGTGCTTAATCATACAATACCTTGGCATTTCTGCCCAGGTACCCAGTAGCTGTCAGGCTGGGCCTGTGTGATACAGATCCAAGAGAATGAATCAGAGTGCGGATGTGAAGATACTGGTGTCAGCATGGCTGCTGGAAATGTGGGAAGGAAGAAAGTCCACGGACCTGCCTACTTGCTCCCTGAGCCTTCCCCAGAGGGGCTGAGATAATTCGCCTCCACATAGCCCACCTTGGACTGGAGCGCCCCCTCCTGGACTTTCCCAAGGGTGTGACCATGCGGGCACCTGGGCTTAGTTCACGGCTGCACTACCGCCTTCCTCTCCAGTTCTGTTCTAGGAAGGCACACACATGAGAAATGCTGACGATACTCCTGTAAGAAGTGCAGTGTGGTATAACTCAAGCTCCTCAGTAAGTCACAAACAGTTTAGGAAGATAAATGCGGCTGAGTGATGCCCTTTTAGTGGAGGCATGCCTGCTTATTACGCTGTAAGCATGGCAACTGTCAGTGATGTGTAGCACCCATGAACCACCACCCAGGGACAAAGACGGCGCCAGGAAGGGGCCAGCCTCACTTTCCGAACTAAAACCACAGTGGCTGAGCGCAGGTCAGTCACACTGTTGGGAAGGATGAAAGGCCCACGGACCCCACGAGGCTGGGCTGCGCTCTTATGCTTTCTGGGCCTAGTTCTTGGCACGCAGTGGGCTCTCCATCATGTTTCTTAAATGAGTCCATGACTCACTTGCTGGGCTTTCTCTCTTTGGGTTCATGACATCAACTTCCCAGGTCAGTAAAAAAATAAGGCTCTTTCTACTTTTTAAAACATTTTGAAATAGCTGAGCCGTGAAGTCTCTCAGCAGAGCTGGCAGCACAGGGTCCAGTGGAAGTGCGGATGAGTGACCGGCTGAAGTCCCCCTTGCCGGTCACTGACGTGTTTCCTGGGCCCAGAGTAGCTCCCTGTCCCCACTTCCTCCTGCTGCTTTCTGGACAGGACCCCAGGAGCAGGTTCTCTCCTGACTCTTGGGAGCCTCAGGGTTGGGCACAACCAACACCTGAGCTGTGAACCACGAAGCCAACGTGCCCAGGGCCAGTGACGGAGCTGATGCTGGTTAATCCCACACCACCCTGGAGCCAGGGACTCATCTTTGAGTCCCGAGAAGCCGGCATCCCCTGGGGTGTCTCCCATTACGCACCTTATCACCGTGGGGGTGATCTCCGCACAGAAGAACACGCTGAGGCTCCCCACTGCATGGGAGGCAAACATGCCCACGATGGAAAACGCGATGGAGAATTTGTCCTTGACGCTGTCACTCATCCCTGGCAGATCAGAAGGGGATGGTGAGGGAAGAGAGGAAGCCGGGCAAGGGCAGGAGGGAGGCCCGGGGCTGCACGGCATGGCTCCTCCCCTCTGCCCAGCGTGAGGCAAGGATGGGTGTGCACTTCCCTCTGGGGACCAAGCAGCACCTCCAGGACTAGAAGCCCAGAGCCCCTGAAGTGAGTTCTGGGGGCTCCTGTTAGTCTCTGTGTGTCAGGCATGCTGGAGCTCATGGCGGCCTCTACTGGAATTCCTCAGCCCGGAGCTATGCCTGGTGGGAGGGCAGGCTGGTATGTCCCCGGTGCCACACCAGTGTCCCTCTTCCCTGGCCTACATTTGCTCCAGAAAGGGCCCTGCTCTCCACAGAGCCCCCACTGCCTCAGGTCTGATGTCCCAACGTGTGGGACAGGGTAGCTGAGTCAGTGTTGATTTAAGGACACAAACATTCAAGCCACAGAATTGATCGACCCGGAGGGAAAGTGTTCAACCCATCAAAGCCCTTGGAAATGGCGCCAGAGACCGACCTCGCACCAGGACAGTGTCTGGCACCGTGCATGGGCATGCTGTCAGGCCACACGGCTGGGGCTCAGCTTAGTTCCCACGGGGCTGCAGAGAGGGCAAGCGCTCCCCAGGGACACGGCGAGGGCTGGGGCAGGCCAGGCGGGTGCAGCAGCAGCTTCGAGGTGCAGGCCAGTACTCTGCTGTCCCCATGGCTGGAGGACAGCAAGCTTACATGAGTCAAAGGGGGGGCATCGGCTTCCCCTGGCAGCACAGACAGCCGGGCCCCAGCACTCCTGGGCGCTCTCACCCCACCCAGATGCTGTTCACAAGACAAAGCATGTTGGCACCAGGCCAGGGCCTGTGCCGAGCCAGGTGCCAGGGGAAGGGGCGGGGGCATGCATGCCAAGCAGCACAGAAACAGGGAAGCACCGGTCGCTCTTTCTAGAGGCAAGAGGGAGAATACAAATGTATCCGTATAGTGTCCAACCTACGGCCAACTTCAGCTGCAGTTCTTGGAGGGCAAGGGGGAGAAAGAGAGGAAATGGAAACCACAGGTCCGTGAGTCTTCCAGAAAACGCCCGTTTGGATGCAATACAAGAAGAGGACGCACAGCCCATGTGCTTGGGACTCACCTGAGTCTGGGTGCTGGCTGTACTTTCCAATCACTGGGCCCGCCGACAGGATCGCAGCCACAGCGCAAGGGCAAAGCAAGCGGGAAGAGAGGAGAGAGCACGTTAGGGGTGGAGTTAGCCCAGCGTGTTCCCACATGACTTGCTTCCAGCAAACTCCCGTCCATGTCTGGGATGGCGCTGGCTGCCAGGGCAGTGGAAGTCATACTGCACTAAACACAGATCTTTTTGTTAGGAAGACAGGGGTTAGAACCCGCTGGTCTCAGCGCCTGGGGAGAAAATGGAACTGTCACAGTGAGACCGTAGCAGGTGCAAAGGGTGAGCTTCCTCACATATAGAGCCACCCATGGGTCACTGCAGCCTGACGGAAGCAACGTCAAGTGCCGTGGGGAGTTCCCTGCTGGCCCAGCTCTGACCCTCATGGCTGGCCGCTTGGTGTTCGCTTGGGCTTCCTGTGCATTCCTGTGCAGGGCCAAAGGGGCATTGCAACAGCAGGGGGCTGAGGCCTCTGCCACTTCCATCCCACCTGTGTGAGTGGGGCAGAGGCTCCCTGGAAGGGCAGCTGGGGAACGGGCGTGGAGGGAGACAGCCACCATGTCTGCATTCCATTTGCTAAGCCTAACAGCAGTCTCCCAGCAAGGGACAGATTGCATAGGAACGGTCCAAGTTAGAAAGCTGCTCCTGAGATTGAAACTAGCCATCTCTAATCCAGGCTGCACGACAAGGCTGCTCTGATCGGGGTGCAGTGGACAGCCCTGGCACCATCTCTAATCCAGGCTGCACAACAAGGCTGCTCTGATCGGGGTGCAGTGGACAGCCCTGGTGCCATCTCTAATCCAGGCTGCATGACAAGGCTGCTCTGATCGGGGTGCAGTGGACAGCCCTGGTGCCATCTCTAATCCAGGCTGCACGACAAGGCTGCTCTGATCGGGGTGCAGTGGACAGCCCTGGCGTCTAGTTCTGAGAGCCTGGGTTCATTTTCCTCATAAAGACGGGAGCCCTGTGGGGTCGATGTTCCTGCAGGGTCCCGAGCCTGTCCCAGGAGGACCCTGCCAGGGCAGGAGAAGAGGCTCAGAGGTCCTGCCTGCTCATGTCACACCTTGGGCTGGGCACGGAGGTGCTGTGGGGTTTGTCCACACACGGGGGTGGGTATTTGTTGGTGAGGTGCTACGCAGAGCTTGCCGGAGGGGCCTGATGGATTCTCTAGCTTTGCCTTAGATTATTTCTAACCTTTACTGAGAAATTCTTTGGTCCAAAGAGAAACTGATGAACCCGGGAACATCTGCTGAAAAGCAGGGCCCCCATTCGAGGGTGACAAAACAGATGTATTTCCCCCTTAATGTCACGCAAAAGAAACAATTCTTTGTTCTCCTTTGTCATGTGGTGAGTCACACAGAAGCAGTGTACCCTTTAGCAAAGTCCCGGCCACCAGGACTCGGAAGGAATCATGGTGCAGCCTGGGCCAGGCAGGGGAGGAGGACGGCCCAGTGCCCTCTGAGGTGGGCTCCACAGATGCTCCCGTGGAAGCTCTGCCTTCTCCAAAGCAGCTCCTTCCACCGACAGATTTTAGAGTGGCCACTGGCATCTGACCCTTTCAAACGCCCCTGGGGGTTGGGCAGCTCCCCTCCCTGTACCGGCCTGCCTCCCTGGCCCACTCACAGTTGAGGAGCCCGAGCTGCAGGAGCGAGGCCAGGGCGGTGAGGATCATGAAGAGCAGCAGCCCTCCCCGGCGCCCGAGGAACCGGACCACGAGGCACATGGCCAGGCAGGACACCAGCGCGATGCTGGCTGTGGTGTAGTAGTCGGCGTAGAAGTTCTCCAGCAGCGGCACCTTCACCTCATGGCCCATCATGCTCCTGGCGAAGCAGTGGTGGATCCCGTACCCCGTCAGTCTGCGGAGACAGTGAGAGCGGCGGTGGGTGCACCATGCCAGGGGCTGCACGCGGGGTCGGGTGACCAGGAGATGGAGAAGAAACTCAGTGTGTCATAGAAAAGCCTGTCATGACCGAACCACAAGCAGATTACAGAGCAGATGCAAAAGAGGGGATGTCAGAGAAAGATGGAGTGCCTCCCCTGGTGGAGGTCCATGCTCAGGCTCCTTGCCATGGCTTTAGTAGACAGGTGTAGGCACAAGAGCGGTGAGTCCTTTTGTTAAAACAACATGTGCTTTCATGGGAATCCTCCAAGGCAAAGCGCTCTCCGGTTACTGACTCATTTAATTCCAGGGTCACACAGCAGACCCTGTACACCCACTGCACAGCGGCAGGCGGGACAGAGCGGCTCCTGTGAGGCTCGAGGCAGGTAAGAGGCAACTCAGAGACAGCCTCTCTGGGTCTGTGCTTCTTTGGGCACTTAGAGTTCTGGAAAGGTGGAGATCTACCTATACCAGCCTCACCTCCACCCACACAGCCTGGAGGAGCCAGGCAGAAGCCAGGCCAATGGAAGGCACATGTATGGTCCTCAGGAAGCTCTGTCTTGATTTGTTTTTTGAGACAAAGCCTGTTCTGTTACCCAGGCTGGAGTGCAGTGGTGTGATCTTGGCTCACTGCAACCTCCCCTTCCCTGGTTCAAGTGATCCTCCTGCTTCAGCCTCCCAAGTAGCTGGGATTACAGGCACCTACTACCACGCCCAGCTAATTTTTGTATTTTTTGGTAGAGATGGGGTTTCACCATGTTGGCCAGGCTGGTCTCGAACCCCTGACCTCATCAAATGATCCACCTGCTTTGGGCTTCCAAAGTGCTGGGATTACAGGTATGGGCCACCATGCCGGGCCTCTATTTTGATTCTTAATTTATCCCCGTTTCCTCCAGACTGCCCTGGGTCAGGCTTCTTTACTGCCCCACACGAGCGTATCAACATTCTGGGAAACATGTCTGCCCTGGCCTCCTGAGCTCCAGGACAAGGTTGCTTTGGCGGTAGAGCCTCTTATACCCTTCCCAAATCAGTTTGAGCCCAGAACCCCAATATGGAGAACTGATGAAATGAGCTGCTTTGACAAAAAAAGCTGTGGGGATACTTGTCCCTGAGCCCTCACCCTGGGCCTCTGTCTGTACCTGGTGGCAGCCCTGAGACCTTTCACAAATGAGTGTAACACCCCAGATGACCTCTAACCCAAATGAGCCAAATCCCTCCCCCGCCCAACCTTGGTGACCTCTAACCCTGAACAAGGGACCACATTGCCCAGTCAAGGCCACTGAGCTCTCAGGACAGGAGTGACCTTCTAGGTACACACCAAACCCAGGGACTGGGCTGCCAAGAATCTGCATGAGTGATGCCCCAGCCCCTGCAGGACCCAGCGGGCGGGGTAACGCTTGTCCTCTGTGACTCATGAGTTCACACACAGGACCATGATATTCCTCCACAGGTTCCATGTCCCCGCTCACCTGCCCCCACCCGTGGCTGCCCTGGGGCCTCTGGCCAGGCTGGCTGCAGGTCCAGGAAGGGTAGGGCCAGCTACAGGCAGGGGGCATGGACACCTTGCAGCCAAGGCCTCATGGGTCTCGAATCCCCTGTCCTCAGACAGGGCCAAGAAGCTCCAGCCTTGCAGCATCCCCCGCTGTGCCCCTGAGGAGATGCATTCATGTGCATCCTGGTTCCCTGGGCCTCGTGGGCACGTGGTAGAGAGGCCCTGCTCACAGGATTTACATGCCTGGGCTGGGGGTGCCGGCTGCTCGAGGCTTCCGGGAGGGGGAGGTCGATACCTTCTAGCCCACCCATGTCACTCTTCACACACAGCCTTAGGATTCCAGGTTCAGCGGGGTAGGGAGCAGGGCCCTGGCCTTCACCGACGCCCGCCTTTTTCCCCGGCCCCTCCCACCCAGCTGGTAGTTGTCTTCTGTGACTCACGAGTTCACACATAGGACCACAATGTTCTTCCACAGGTTCCGCGTCCCCACCACCTTCACGATGCAGACTTTCTTGGGCCTCCGGGAAAGCTCCTTCTCCAGCTCTGCAAAGAAACAGACCCTGTGAACCCCGGGCAGGCACCCACAGAAGACTGGGGCAGCAGTTGCAGCCACAGCCCTGGCTCCCCAGTTCGGGCACCACAGAAGGGAAAGAAAGCCTTTTTCTGTTCTTTTCTTTTAAGCCAGCAGATGGGGTTTAGGTTTCCAGGATAGAAAGGCTGGAAACCTAGATCCCGCCTCCAGCGTTGCAGTTCAGGTTTCCCTAGGGTGCCCGAGAGGGCGCCAGGTGCACCGTCAGCACGTTTCCACGGCAAAGCCTTTTTTTGGAACCAGGCAGAGTACACACAAATAAACACACAGCATAGACTCGGTTCACTTTTGTCTGAGTACAGAGCTCAGGGATGATATCCTAGGTGACTGAGGCACTCTTTCGGCCCTGGGCAAATCTAAACGAGCAGTTCTTTTCCTTACAGTCTGCATCCATCGATGTCACTCCCTGCTCCGAAACTGGGAAGGCCACACCCAGATATGCTCCTAAGCCTTGTGGGGTGGAACTTACCACAGCTGTAGCTACTTCGGGAGAAACTGCCCTTAGGGCATATGAGTCTTTGAACGACAAAACATAAGTGAATCCATCTGCGTGTATGTGTATACATGCATACATGCACACATTCATACGCATATGTATACGTGTGCACGTTTTAGTTAACAGAAATCCTCGGGAGCTGGACAATTTTGGTTCCACGGGATGTGACTAACTATAAAGTCATGAGATTGGGTTTCTTGTGCGGCTCCTGCAGCTCTGAAAGCCCCTCTGAAGGGAGTCCGCCAGCACTGTGTTACATTCACCAGGCCAACGGGTCTGTGGAGGTGCTGGGGTCGATTTGGCAATTTACAGGGAAGATTCAGAATGGGGGTGCCCTGGCCTCCAGGAGCTGTCTGCCTGTGCATCAGGGAGCAGGAATGCCACTCAGCCTTCTGTCACCTCTCTGCCCTCCGAGCCTGCTATGCCTTCATGGAATAATCTCTTTCTGGGGAGCTTAAAAAAAAAGGAGACTTCCCGAATTAGAGGGGAACTAGGACTCTTCAAGACTGTCAAGGTCATGAGAAACAAGACCGAGCAGCTGTCAGACCAGGAGACTAAGGAGGGAGGAGGACAAGATGCAGTCCTGGGTGGCATCCGGGGTGGGAAGAGTCATCATGGAAAAATGGGAGACACCAAATAAAGGCTGGAGTTTGGTGAATAGCAGTGTCCCAATGTCACTTTCTTAGTTTTGACAGTAGCATGACAATATCAGATATTTGTAGTTGGGGACGCAAGTGAAGGGTATATGGAGATTCTGTAGGATCTCAGCAGCTTTCCTGTACATCTAAAATTATCCCTGAATAATACATTTATAAAATAAAAAAAAGTGGTGGGGAGGTGAGGCCTCTGTCTGCCAAGGAAGGCTTCAATGCTGGGAGGAATGTCGTTGCCTCTGGAGGGACCCTCCTGCTCCCTCGGGGCTGCGTCTCCAGGACCCCGGTCTTGTGCTTCTAAGGGCCACTCTGAAACCTGGATGACCCAAGTTCAGTCCTCCTCTTCCACCTCCTTCCTGCCATCCAGTGGCTGGAGGGTTACGAAGCTCCTTCATTACAGAGAAAACATGTGTTGCTTAACTGTAGGGATTTAGGAACTTTTTATTCAAACACATTGTTTTTGAACTCAGTGCCACTAGCCAGGGCACAGAAGGGAGAAGGAGAAACCTTTTTCTTGTCTAAGGGATATCATGCCTCCTGAGTTTCCAGAACCTTCTTCCTTCCCATACAAGATTGAAGTCTGTGTGCAAGCCAGCAGGGCTGGCATTTCAGCTGCAGGCCCATGGATCCTCTCAGCTCCCAAGGTCTACTGACCATTATTTTTCCTCAGCAAAAATGGACTACTTTGACTATAGGAACAGTTACTCTATGTAAAGAGCTTGAAAATATCATGGTTAACAGAAAACCTTGGATCTAATGATCAAAGTATCTTTGCTATTACAAAACTCATCAGAAACCAACTGTAATAGCTACATTTTCTCACCATGGAAGACTTAAGAGAAGAAAATTTAAATGTCTATTAGCATATTCATATGTTTACAGTTTAAAAAAAAATATCCCAAAATGAACTCCTAATATGTTATTGTTTATGAAGTATGATGTTAAAGAAGCAAATACAGGCTGGGCATGGTGGTCATACCTGTAATCCCAGCACTCTGGGAGGCCGAGGAAGGCAGACCACGAAGTCAGGAGTTTGAGACCAGCCTGACCAACATGGTGAAACCTTGTCTCTACTAAAAATACAAAAATTACCCGGGTATGATGGTGTGCACCTATAATCCCAGCTACTCAGTAAGCTGAGGCAGGAGAATCACTTGAACCCGGGAGGTGGAGGTTGCAGTGAGCTGAGATCATGCCACTGCACTCTAGCCTGGGTGACAGAGCAAGACTCCATCTCAACAACAAAAAAGAAGCAAATACAGTTGCATTATGACCTGAGCTTTTAAAATAAAATTAAACCTAGAACCCAGTATAAAAAATTGACTGTAGTCTGCAGAGGTAACTGCATTCTTCTAAGAGGAATTAGATTAACCTTTCCAGGGCTATTGATATGTTGTCAGGGTGTCTGTTACGCACATCACCAGCCTTCTTACTCACAACATGAAACTTCCACGGCACTAAGTCTATTCTTCTGGGCCAAAATCCACAAGCTTTGAGTTATAGAACATGTGGATGGCTCTAACACCCTCAGTGGTAGCTGAATCCAAGAGACCTTTTTTTTTTTTTTTTTTTTTTTTTTGAGACGTAGTTTCACTCATGTTACCCAGGCTGGAGTGCAATGGCGCGATCTCGGCTCACCGCAACCTCCGCCTCCTGGGTTCAGGCAATTCTCCTGCCTCAGCCTCCTGAGTAGCTGGGATTACAGGCACGCACCACCATGCCCAGCTAATTTTTTTGTATTTTTAGTGGAGACGGGGTTTCACCATGTTGACCAGGATGGTCTCGATCTCTTGACCTCGTGATCCACCCGCCTCGGCCTCCCAAAGTGCTGGGATTACAGACTTGAGCCACTGCGCCCGGCCAAGAGACCTTTTTGTCTGTCCAGGTATGATGGACATCTAGAGACTTCTCTAAACTCCTCTTGCACAGAAATGAATGGGTAACAGGGAGCCGAGCCAGGTTGTGTGACACTGGCCTCCAGGACATGCTGCTGTGAGCACCTGGCTCCCACGGTCCCCTTGAGACGAAGGAGGAGGACGACACATCAGCCTGCTTGACTAGAGCCATCAGAAAATTTCCAACCAAAAACTATATCAAGCCTACTGAATTGGTGAGCCAGGTATGTCCAACTCCACCCTGCAGCCCCTGTGCCTCTCTGCATTTTCACGAGGTCGGGGCCGAGGTCTGGGTGCTGTGAGGGGCCTGATGAGCCTGGGCAGAAGCCCAGCTTCTGCACTTCTGGCTGGCTCCTTGGAACAGCTACACTGTCCTTGCTCTGAGCCCAGCTGCTCATCTGTAAAGGAGGATAAAGCGCTTGAGGGACAGATGGGAGAACTCAGCGTGGCCTCTGGGAGCACTCAGGGAGCACGTGTCCTCCCGCCAGCGCTCAGCGAAGCCAACATCTCCCAGCCTCTCTTCAACAACAGAGCAAGGGAAAGGACGCCCTGCTGACCCTGCTGATCTGCTGGAAGGAGAGCGTGACCTCTCCACATCTGGTCATCTGGTGTGAGAGTTAACAGGCTTCCTGAGGACATCAGAGGAGGAGGAGGCAGTGGCTGCTCACCTAAGACCAGGTTCGGGAGGAGCAGGGAAAGCACACACAGCGGAGAACTGGAATTCGCTTGTGTGGGGGTGTGAGATTAACTGGCTTTACTATCATCCTACTGGACGATGCTAGTGCATTAGGAGTGACATTGGAAAAATATCAGTTATAGAGCTAGAAAGCAAAAGAAAGTAAAAAAGGAGGGGGACAAGGAACAGGAGGAGGAGAAAAAAAGAAGAGGAAGGGGAGGAAGGGAAGCTGCCACAAGAGTCATTAAAAATGCACACTGGTGCACGCCTGTAATCCCAGAACTTTGGGAGGCTGGGGTGGGTGGATCACCAGGACAAGAGATTGAGACCATCCTGGCCAACATGGTGAAACCCTGTCTCTACTAAAAATACAAAATTAGCTTGGTGTGGTGGCACGTGGCTTTAGTCCCAGCTACTCAGGAGGCTGAGACAAAAGAATCGCTTGAACCTGACAGGCAGAGGTTGCAGTAAGCAGAGATCGCGCCACTGCACCCCACCCTGGCAACAGAGGGAGACTACATCTCAGAACAAACAAACAACAAAACTGTACACTAAACGCTCCAAGGAGGCAGCCCTGAGCCTCACGCCCGTGTTGGGAAGTAGAAAAAGCACCTGCTGCCTCTTCCACCAGCCCCTTTCCCCTCTGGGACGGATTTAGAATGGGTCCACTCAGCCACTGGAATAAATGTGCTTTGAAAGCAAGTATAGATAAGCATCCATAGGAATCTTATCATGAAGTCACTTTAGATAGCACAATCTTCAGCGTCTAGCCAAGCTTTCAACAACTGACCTGGCACCGTGACCTCTCTCATCTCTGTCCTTATCTGCCCAGGCACGTGCTCCACCTCATCCGAGCCCAGTGAATGAGCCACAGCGGTTGCTTGCAGAGCGGTGGGGAGCCAGGCCCCCATGCAGCCTGCCTGAGGGCAGATGTCACTTTTATCACTTACTGGTGGTGTGACATGTGCAAGGCACCTAGTGTGGAACGTGGAGGTGGCCTGACACATCCACTCTCTTGTCATCCCAGGATCTGAACACATTGTTAAGACAGAGTGAGGCAGGTCAGGACAAAACCCAAGCTCTGTCATTGCTAAGGGCAGGGGGGAGCCCCACACGGGGCGAAGATGAGGACGCTCAGATCACAGACTCACCCATGCGTCCTGGCCATGTTAGGCAGATTGGCTTCTCTGGCGTAAGGTGTGGGGCTGCCGGGAGAGGACTGATGCTGAGGATGGAGGATGCCTGCACCCTGCACGTTCCTCCCCACAAAGAGAGAAGACAGGAGCGCATTTGCTCTCCCTCCCCTGGGGCTGGCCTGATGCTAGAGGGATCATGGAGTTCCTGTTCCCCAGCACTCAGCCTCTTTGTGCCCGTCTGCTCCTGTCATGTAGGGAGAACGGCTCCTTTCCCTCCTGAAGCTCAGGTGCAGATGAGATGTGTGTGAAGCATTCCCCGCCAACCCCTGCACCTGGCAGAGTCACTGTCCAGTGACTTTTTGCTTATCTTACTATCAGCTGAGCATTCTACATCAGAAAATCTGAAACCCGAAATGTTCCAAAATTGAGCATTGTTTGAGCACGCACATGATTCTCAAAGGAAATGCTCTTTGGAGCATTTAGATTTAGGATTTTTGTATTTGGAAAGCTCAACTAGTAAGTGTAATACAAATATCCCCAAATCCCAAAACATCCATTCCCCGAAACACTTCTGGTCCCAAGCATTCTGGATGAGGGATACCCAGCCTGTAGGACTGAAGGCACAGCCCTGTGTGTGGCACTCATCCTGGGTTTCGTTTTTGCATTAGGCTGCTGGCCACATGGCCACATTGGAAACCAGCGGGCCTTCTGCTCCTGCTATAAATGCTCGAAGCCTCAGGATTATGAGATGGGAGCGCTGTCAGCACTTGGGCACGTGATGTGATATGAAGGCTGCAGGACTGACACTGAGAGAGTGATACCCAGGACACACCCTCATATCTGAGCTGACTCAGCAGCCAGGCTACTGAGAACATCCGATTTGCAAGAAGGTAAACTAAGGATAGCTTTACAAGAGGAAAGGAAATAAGAAACCTGGGAACATCAGGTTTCCCCCTGGCATAAATCCAGGGTTAGGGTGTACCGACAGGGCAAGGAGCAGCCCTGCTGGACCCCCACACATACCTCCAGCCAGGCCTGAGACGTTCATCTACCCAGAGGCGATGCAACCTGCAATCCTAACCCTTCCTTCCTACAGGAGCCCTGGGTTTGTGTAGTCCATAAATATTCACGGCACGCCTGCTACGCGTCAGGCTTTCGGCTGGGCTGCCGCTGGGGGCACAGAAGTGTCTGGCTCTACAGACAGGGGCCCTGCCTTGTCTGGCCTTGCAGCTCAGCAGGGGTGACAGACACTAAGGAACCCTGCAATTATTCGTCATAGCTGGGATGAGAGGAAGCAGGGAGAAGGGCTGAAGCTATAACCATGAAGAGCTGGAGGGCTGACTTGGTCTCTGAGAGCTGGCCAAGGCAAGAGTGGGAGCTGAGAGGACAGGGAGTGTGCACGGGGAGGGCCCTGTGCAGAAGACGACGGTGCATCCTGGGAGCCAAATGAAGGCCAGGGTGTGGGGTGCAGGGAGGCAGAGATCAGAGGGGGCCTCTGCGGTGGCCTGGGGGGCCTGGGGTCTGCCTGAAAGGCACTGGGAAGCACTGGAGAGGCTTGAAGCCGGTGGTGATGTGATCAGATCATGTGTGACCTGGCGGCAGGGAGGATGGAACAAAGCCGGGAGCCCAGCCAGCCAGCCAGGGTGTGAGAGGGTGACAGACATGAGGCTTGGAGCAGGTGCTGGCTGTGGGATTAGACAGGGCCATGGGAGGAAGATTCAATGCAGAAAACCCAGTCTGGGCAGAGGAAGCTGGAAGTGGCAGATGTAGCCTCTGAAGGCACATTGCCTTCTCCCGGCACTCAGCAGCCCTGTCACTGCGCTGCCGGGGGTGGCAGAGAGCAGAGGCCATTGTGAAGGGTTGCTGGGCAGAGCAAGTGCCTGAGGACCACTCCCCATGGAGGTGAAGGTGAAGCCTCGCTCCTCTTTGTTAAGTCCCATGTCACCAACTCCCTCTCACCCAGCCTCCTGCCTGGGACACTGGAACGGAAATAAGCACCAGCAAAACTCATAAGCAAAGAAATAAATTTTTAAAAAGGATTTAATACCACTTTCCAAATATAGGAGGGAAATGAATCAGTGTAATTAGGATTGAGAAAACAAGCTACTCCCAGACAATATTTTAACGTGAAAGAAACGGAGTGTGATGACTTAATTAGGGAAATACCACAAACAAATTGTACTGTAAGCCTAAGAGCATTAACCTGCTAATGAGTGAGGTCTGGGGAAGTCTGTGGAAGCCATCTGGACCATCCAAAACGGGCAAGCACAGCCCCGCCGGAGAAACCTCGACTGAGTACTCACTGCTCCTTGCAGGGAAGTTTGCATATTCTCTCTTGGACAATGGCCTGGAGGTTATTTTCCCAGGGAATTTTATAACAACAATCTACCCCAGGTCTTTGGTTAGGGCAGTGAGTCAGAGCTTGGCATGAGCCCCCCAGTGATTTTCAAAAGGAGCTCTGTATACCACTTGCATCAAAATCTCTTCTAGTGCTTATTCAAAACGCCAAGTTCTCAGGGCTTATCCCAAATCTACTGGGTCAGAATCTCTGGGTGCCATGAGAGGCCCAGGAATCTGGATTTTAACAACCTCCTGGTGATACATGTGGATGTCCAGGTTGAGAACCCCCACCTAGCTGTGCTAATGCTCCCAATACACACGAATTCTATGGTTCGGAACAACTATCCAAAAACACTTCACTTTCCCTGTCTTCAGCTGCCCAACAAATAGGTTATGGCCAGGTAAAGACAATGGTGGTTCTCTGATCATGCTTAGGACAGGTGAGGTCATGAGGGCCATCTACGCCCTGAGCCAGCGCTCTGGCAGTGTTTAAACCTGGCAGGCAGGCAGGCTATGGGCCAGATAGCCAGATCTTCCCTTGAGCAGTGTATGCTGGGCTCATGGCATGCTTCTGGATTTAGGCAGGAGGTAAGGAGAACCAGAGTGTGCTGGACTTGATCATGAAAGAAATCAACGTGGAGATTCTAGCCTAGAACGTGGAGAGAATGTCAAGGCTGCTAACTGTCCTTGTGCAGGCCAAAAGGTCACAGGAGAATTGTACAGCTGGTTAAAACAGCTGTTGGTACCACAAAACCAGCCCAGGTGTCAGGGACCTGCCCCACGGAGCCTCTCCGAGCCTTGGCCAGCCCGTGGTGTGCTCACCTGGCATCACGCCCTTGATGTCGCTCTCAGGGCTCACGCAGTTCTTCTGTGTGAAGTGGAGGATCAGCCTCTTGGCAGACTCAAACTGCTGGGTAGCCATTAGCCACCGGAGGGACTCGGGGAATATCCTTCAAAGACACAAAGGGAATGGGTGAATGTCTTCCAGTTCTGCACAGCACTGGGAAGCGTGGCTTAGGTGTGGCCCGGGAGCTTCCCAGGCAGGTTGCGTTCAGTCTCCAGACACGCATCAGCCCAGTCAGGGGAAATAAAACTGTGGGCACTGAAACATTCCCGATTTTCTTTTCCAAAGTGTAAAAATCGAGACCTTAAAAATGTTTAACCAAAGTTAAAAAACACACGTTCTCACCCACATACGGAAGCTAAAAAAAAAGTGATTTCATAGAAGTAAAAAGTAGAACAGAGGACACTAGAGGCTGGAAGGGTGACGGGAGGCTGGAAGGGTGGGGGAAAGCTGTGGATAGGGAGAGGTTGGTGGAAGGATACAAAATTATAGCTAGGTAGGAGGAACAAGTTCAAGTGTTCCATGCCACTGTAGGATGACCATAGCTACTAATAATGTAGAGTTTTACATCACTAGGAGGAGGAAGTTAAACATTCCCAACACAAAAAAGTGATATTTGAGATGATGTGCATGCTAATTACCCTGATCTGATGATTTTACATTACATGTATTACACCATCACTGTGTACCCTATAAATACGTAGAATTACTATGTGTCAATTAAAAAATAAAAAAATAATTAAAAAATATAACAGAGTAGCAGATAAGAACAACATTCTACCAGTTATGTCAAGAAATCAGTGTATACCTTTCAAAGTAATCATGGATTTCTTATTTTGTTTTTTTTTGAGACAGAGTCTCACTCTGTCACCAGGCTGGAGTGCAGTGGCATGATCTTGGCACACTGCAACCTTTGCCTTCTGGGTTAAAGTGATTCTTGTGCCTCAGCCTCCCGAGTAGCTAGGACTACAGGCCCACACCATCACATCCCACTAATTTTTCTGTTTTTAGTAGAGATGGGGTTTCACCACGTTGGCCAGGATAGTCTTGATCTCTTCACCTCGTGATCCACCCGCCTCGGCCTCCCAAAGTGCTGAGATTACAGGTGTGAGCCACTGTGCCCGGCCGTAACCATGGGTTTCTAAAGCATGTAGAAACAATGCATGGAAGGCTGGTGATTTTTTTGTATTTTTTCACAATAAATAGTAATAGAATGATTTTACATTTAAAAAGTTACTTCCAAATGCGACTAACTTGCAGTTATTTTCAGTTTTGGAATACAAAAGCTTACTCTCCGGGGTTTTCCTTCAGAGCTGTTTACATTTTGCTGCTAACTGCACGTCACTTGTCCCTCAGACAGTGCCACAACACAGTGGTTTTGAGTTTTACAAAGCAACGGAATCTATTTTTTTTTTTTAAAGACGGAATCTTGTGAGGAGCCCCAATACAAAAAAAAAAAAAGCTAGTGTTTTATTATCAATTTTATAAATTTACACTTAGGACAATACTTCCAAGCCACTCAAAGAGAACATCATGACTGTGCAGAGCAGGAATTCTATCTCTGCAAAAGTCCAAGTCATCAAAGCCTGAGAGTGGATGTATGGGAGTGGGTGTGGCTATGGGCTAATAATACTTTATTGCAAAGCAGGAAGCTGACTCCTGACTGTTTGGGAGAGTCAAAAAGTAGAAATCAAAGCTCAGGATGGTCCTAGCCTCTTGTAGTCCTCAGCGTTCTAGGTATCACTCTACCTTATTTTAGTTAAATCCTATCAAGAAAGTCAGGACTGATGCTGGTAAGAAGTTATTATAGCTACCTAACACCTGCTTTGCAAGCTCAGGAGAGCTTTTAAATGACTCTAGCAGCTGGAAAAAGTATTAGTGGTGTTTCCCTCACGCCGGGCCAAGTTCATTATGTTGGAAACTAAAGCCCAGTGTGATAGCAGTAAGAGAAAGGGCCTTTAGGGATGATCAAGTCATGAGAACAGGAGGCTGAAGAGAGGAGCCTTGCCTCTTCCCACATGTGAAGACACACAGAAGCCCCCCTCTATGAGCAACACACGCTTGCCAGACACAGAATCTGCTGCTGCCTTAATCCTGGACATCTCAGCCTCCAGAACTGTGAGCAACACATTTCTGTTGTTTATAAAGCCTCCAGCCTAAGGTATTTTGTTGTACCAGCAGGAAGAGACTGTGAGAAGTAGAATTTTTTTTTCAAAGTCACATCACTATTGATATCTAATAACTACTGCCTCCTTCTTACCTATTTGAAAAAAGTCCAAATTTCTATTTGTTTGTAACTGTGCTTTACATAAAGAGCTGGTTCCCACTGAATTTAGTGGTACCTTTGGGATGGTCTGATCTCACTCACTCTGGGAGACATGAGAAACTTCTTGAAGAGCTAAAAGCTGTCCTGCCGAGCAGGTGTGTGGAATGCAGGAGGGCTTTGCGGCAGGGACAGGGGGTCCCCAGTCATCTCACATGGAAGTCCCAAATGCTAATGTAGGCACTGATTTTTTTTTTTAATAATCAAAGTTAATGTTTGTTTTACTGGCCTCTAGCTATAACAAATTAATTGTGAATAACATAATCCAAGCAAATAGAAACACTCAGATACATGACATTCATATTATATAGTATTCACATTTTGCTGTATTTTTAAAATCAGATCTTTTCTTTATAATAAAATAACTGAACACAAATGCCAACCCCCTGTAGTTTAAGTTCTGATCTATAGTATTTCCATCTTTCTGATGCATTTGGGTTTAGTATCTTTTTCTGATTTCTCAGGACAGACATAGAGGTCATTATTATTAATTTTTCTCATGTATATTTAAGACTGAAATTTCATCTAAGTATTATCACTTGAGATACATTTGTGATTTGATTCTAAATATTTTGTGATTTCCATAATTTTTGCTTTTCTAAGAAACAATATATGAATACATATAAATATGTTAAGATGACAGCACAAGTGATTTTGCAGATGGACTCTACAGTTTTAAAATACGGCATACAACATGGAAATTTGTGTCCTTTCAAAATAATTAAAATTTATTTATATCAAATGTTTGTGGAACTAACTCCATGGCAGGAAATGGATTTTGAAAATCAAGACCATAAATGAAGAACAAGGCCCAGATGATACAGCAGAGGAGAGGCTGCAGCCATACCTTCCAAACCCTTGGCCAGACCCCCAAGGGCCACTGCCCAGGGCTGAGGGCACAGGGGGAGTGAACAAGCCAGGAAGAGCCTCCACAAGAGGACGTAGCTTTTTCATTGCCCCCAGCAATCTCAAGTCCTCTTCCTTGATGTATCCTCAATTGTTACCTAAAGGGCGGGGAGAACCGTGGAGGTGTGCTCACTATACACAGTTTTGAAGCCAGGATGGGAGGTGAGTGACAGCTCAGGGAAAATCCAAACTGAGGCATATCTGAGTATGGACATTTGAGTGGTGTCATTTTGCCTTCAAGATAAAGCCCTTGTCAAATGAGTTAGGGAGAATTTCTTTTGTTTCATTTTTCTTTTCGAATAGTTTGAAAAGAGTTGGTATTAAATTTTTAAAGGTTCATTAGAATTCAGCGGTGAAGCCCTCTGGTTCTGGATTTCTGTTTTTTGGAAGACTTTTTATTACTAATTCAATCTCATTACTGGTTATTGGTCTGTTTAGCCTTTCTATTTCTTCTTGGTTCAATCATGATAGGCTGTATGTGTCAGGAATTTATCCATTTCCTTTAGGTTTTTGAATTTATTGGCATCTAGATATTCATAGCAGTCTCTGATGAGTCTTTGTATTTCTGTGGTATCTTTTGTGATGTCTTTTTTTTCCTGTTGTTTCTAATTTTATTTATTTGGGTCTTCTCTTTTTCTTAGTCTACCTAATGGTTTATGAATTTTTAAAATATTTTCAAAAAAAGCAACTTTTTGTTTCATTGATCTTCTCTCTGGTTTTGCTAGTCTCAATTTTGTTTATGCCTGCTCTAATCTTCATCATTTCTTCCCTTCTACTAGTTTTGAGATTAGCTTGTTCTTGCTTTTCTAGTACCTTGAGATACATCCTTGGGTTGTTTATGTGAAATCTCTCTAGTTTTTTGGTGTAGGCATTTGTTGCTATAAGCCTACCTGTTAATGCTGTTTTTGCTGTGTCTCATAGGTTTTAGTATACAGTGTTTCTATTTCCATTTGTGTCAAGAAATTTTTTAGTTTCCTTCTTAAATTCTTCCTTCACTGATTGGTTGTTCATCAGTATGTCGTTCAGTTTCCATGCATTTGTACAGTTTTGAATGTTCCTCTTGTTATCTTATTTCTAGTTTTATTCCATTATGATCAGATAGGCTACTTGGTATGATTTTGATTTTTAAAAATTTTTTGAGACTTGTTTTGTGTTGTAACATATAGCTTAATCCTGGAGAAACTAAAACTTTCTGCATAGCAAAAGAAACAATCAACAGACTGAAAAGACAACCACAGAATGAGAGAAAATATGTGTAAACTATTCATCTGACAGGGGATTAATATCTAGAATATATAAGGAATTCAAACATCCCAAAAGCAAAAAAAAGAAACAACCTGATTTTAAAAATGGACAAATAATCTGAATAGACATTTCTCAAAAGGCACAAATGGCCAACAAATATATATAAAAAATGCTCAACATTACTAATCATCAGGGGAATGCAAATCAAAACCACAATGAGGTATTGACTCACCCCAGTTAGGATGGCTGTTATCAAAAAGACAAAAAAAAAAAAAAATGCTGGCAAGGATGTGGAGAAAGGGAACTCTTATATGATGTTGGTAGGAATGTAAACTATGGAGAACAGTAGAGAGGTTCCTCAAAAAACTACAAACAGAACTACCACATGACCCAGCAACCCCACTACTAGCATTCATCCAAAGGAAAGGAAATCAGTCAAAGATGCGTCTGTACCCTGAGTTTATTACAGCATTTTCTGCAATAGCTAAGATGTGAAATTGACCTGGGTGTCCAACACAGATGACTGTGAAAAGGAAATGTGGTATATATACACAATGGAATACTATTCAGCTGTAAAAAAGAATGGAATTCTGTCATTTGCGGCATCATGGATAGAACTGAAAGACATTATG